TCCAGTTATCAGGTTCTTGACAGAAACTCATCAGGATGTTGTGAACACATAATCAGAAAGGAAATAATTGCAATTTGAAAACCAAACAAGCTCAGCTAGAAAATTACAAAGGGAACCAGTTTACAAAGCAAAACACTGACTGGAAAGAAACTAGAATGAACCTTCTTAAATGAAGAACTGGGGATCCCTCAGCACGTGCCTTTCAGACTTTGACCCACAGGGTTAAAGCTCAGTAGTGAAGCCCGTCTTGTTTCTTATCCCACAACTCTTACACTTCCAGACCCTTAAACTTCAGGTTACAGAGCTAGGGAGACCCTGTGATGTGAGATGTAATTTGAAAATCACTGTTCTGTTTTTAATGAACACATGTTCTATGACACAGGGAAGACCTTAAAATAATTTATAATTTTACAGAGCTGGATTTGGCCATCTGAACTAACCTTATCAAAGTTTAATCCAATTCAGCAAATGTACAGTAACCAAGACAGGGCATAGCCTCGCCCTAAAGGGAGACAGACAGAAATACAGTGACCTACCTTTTAGTGTGACACATTAAGCAAGAGTCTGGACTGTTTCCTGGGGTGGAAACAGCTCTCCAGCCCAGACTTGAAGGGTGATTCAGCAATTGCCAGGAGACAGGGAGGAGGGACAACCCAAGCAGGAAGGCCGACAAGTGCCAGCCTGGTGTATCCTCATAATGGAGCAAAGGGAATGCTTGGGCTGGGAGGATGGGACCAGAAGGCAAGCCAGGACACAAAGGGCCCTCCCTCTTAAGCTCAGCTCAGGAGTCCAGAGAAATCTTGAGGTCAGGGAAGTCACACCTGGCTACAAGTTAGAATCACCTGGGAAACATTCATGCCCAAGCCCCACCTTTGGCCTCTAAGACTTCTGTAGAGCTAGTCTCCGTGTTATAGCATTAAAAAAAACAACAAACAAACAAAAACAGTGCCAAGTGATTCTACTACCCAGCAAGGCTGTAAGACTGTGAGTCACAGCTATAAATAAGAAATTTGTAGTTTTTCCTGTCAAGCGCCAGATAGTAAATATTTTCAGCCTCAGATGCAACTACGCCAGCCGGTCATTTTGGACAAAAGTTGCCCTGACAATATGAAAACAAATGAGCCTAGTTGTATTAAACAAATCTTCAGTGACCAGATAAGCAAGGCCCTAGTTTGCCAACCTCTATATAATGGGACATTATAGAGGAATTTAGAAAATATATTGATTTAAAATTTTTTAATTCATATTTTATTATATTTAAATAGCACATGAACTTATCTGTACTGTAAAGGAATCTAAACAGCACAAAGCTCAGGATCTTTTTAGTCAGTCATCTAAACACCAGTCTTCTCCTGTGGAACCCTCCTCCTTGACCCCCTCCCCCAGACTCCCTAGACCCCCTGCCCCTATTTAGGATTAATTGCTCTTTTCGCTTCTGTAAATTTCTTGGCTTGAGGGAACCAGAGGGACAAACTGCACCATCTCCATTTTGACTGCTGATTCCTCCATTTTCGTGATGTCTCATGGTCATAGACTAGGCAAGCCCAGGCATGTCCAGGTCGGGCCCCCCCCCCCCCAGGTTTGAGGCCTTATAAGGAATAAACAGGGTCCTGAAGATAACAGTCCGCCCCTTCCACAGCCCTGAGGGCAGCACCCACCAATGAGAGGCCTCCAAGACTGTAACCAATCAATTCAAAAGTATGTTGGCGGGCACGGGCTCTTTGGACCAATCAAAATATAACTCTGTCATTCCCCTCCTCCCTTTGTCTGAAACCTATGAAAGCTCCCTCCCTCTGCAATCGGGGGCTCTCAGAGGAACCTACCCTTAGTTTGGTCTGAGAGTCCGAGCTTAAGCCTGAGTAAGGACTCTTTGTTCTTGCATGCTCTCTGGACTCCGTGGTAATTCTTGGGGATCCGTTCTCTGGTCACAACACTCCTGTATAACAAGGTTTATCAGTGTAGAGAATGTACTTTTTCTTGAACTTGCAAGAACTTTCTCCTTGCTTTCTCTTTGTGTATGTATCATATTTACTAGAAAAACAGTTTTTGCTTTGCGTTTTTATTCTCAAATTTGCTTCCTCTCCCCAACATGCTTATCTCTTGTTTTTGCATTGTTTTATGTGGTAGGAAAGCCCCATTGAAATATTTTAAATTGCCAACATTAAACTAGCTTTGTCCTATAAAATGCTATTTTCATACACTTCATCCTGATAGTCTGTTCTATTTTTATGTCCATTGCAAGTGTTACTGCCACCTGCATTTTTCCATGTGTTATCTCTACAGCGGATCTGAGACATCAAATTTCTGGATTACCTGGGTCACATCAGTTGAAGAGGAATTCTTGATGAAACCACAAACACTATCTCTGGCAAACTTTGACGTGGGGGGGTGGCATGGGCAGGCAGTGGGTGGCTCACAGGATGTAGAGGAAGGCCAGGGGCCTGGTCTCTGGACCAGTCAGAACCAGTCTCCATGGTAATCCTCCTACTACTCTCTCACCAGGCTACTGCTGAGTGAATGGAGACAAAGCTTGGCTTTGGGCCTTGTTTCACTCCATCCGAATCCTGAGGGAGAGTTGATTTCATGTCCTAGTGATGGGGAGGGAGACTTGGGGTGGCCTTTAGGGATCCCTTCAGCTTCTTTAATGAGAGGACATCTTGATTCTTTGGGTAAGATTATATGCAATTGGGGAGTAGTAATTCATGACTTTTTTTTTTGGTCTTTTTTGAAACAGGGTCTCCCTGTAGCCCCAGCTGGCCTGGAACACACTATGTAGACCAGGCTGATCTTGAACTCATAGAGATCTGTCTGCCTCTGCCTTCCAAGTGCTGGGACTACAGGTGTGCACTACCACACCCGACTAATTCATGACTTCTAAGAAATCAGATCAAGCTCTTGCTTCTTGTGCCTCAGCCTTTTCCTTCTCCCAGCATAAGACCTATAGGGACATTCTGTTTTGTTGGGGTACAGCATTGCAGTGGTCTGATAGCTAAAGGAAGGGGCAAAAGTATCTCTAGAATATTTCCATTTCTGCTAGGATGGTCACAGTGTTCTCTTCTTTAGTCCTTAAAATCTGAAGAGGTCCACACTTGGGGGTCTGGGCTCTACACGTCCCTCAATGTACTCAGCAGATAAAGGGAGAAAGTGTGCACAGACCACAGCCCCAAAATCCTCCAACATGAAACGCACAGAAGAATGGCAATGAGTTCAACAAATGTGACATGAACTGAACTGTCGGAACCAATGGGCTGCCAGGGAATTAAAATAAGCACAATAAATATGACCAAAGAGATGAGAGAATATTGGTAACACAAAGTATAAACCAGCAATCCTATAAAAAGTCAAGAACAGCCAGGGGTGACAAGGAAATAGCCTTCCAGGCTTCTGAGAACTTGCAACAACAGTGACAGTATGCACAAGACCCATGCAAACTCAGTCAGACAAAAACTAGCAGAGGGCTGGGGAAATGGACAGGGGCCCCAACTTTAACTGAGGAATATTGACAGCTGATCACTGCTGGGTGAAGGAGAGTTGATCCTTGTGGGAGAGACTCTAGATAGGCTGAAGAGCCTCTAGCAGATGAACTCACATCAAGGATATCTAGGTATACAAATTTGACTCTATAGGCCTTAATATATATGAAAGAATACATGAAATCCACTAGGTAGGCCATGGGAGGGATGCAGATAGGGTAGGGGTCTAAATGTGATTAAGATGTATTATATGAAATGAACAAAAATTCAATAAAAAAATATAATGAAAAAATAAAATAAAAAAAAGAAGAGCTGTTAGTAAAAATAATAAAACGGGCTAGAGAGATGGCTCAGTGGTTAAGAACACTGGCTGTTCTTGCAGAAGACCTGGGTTTGAATGCCAGCACCCACATGACAGCTAACAACTGTCTGTAACTCCAGTCCCAGGGGATCCAACAGCCTCTTCTGACCTCTCCTCTGTTGGCATTGCACGACATGGGTGCACTTACCTACATGCAGGGAATACATGCATACACATAAAAGTAGTAAATAAAATTTTGAAAAAGATAATAAAACACAGATATAAAAAACATAATACATATAATAAACATAAGATGGATAGAAGTGAAGAAAAGCTGGTAAGCTAGATCAGCTTGACAGCTCTCTCAAAATAGAGCAGTAACAGATGAATAGATGGAAAGTTCAAAAAAAAAAAAAAAAGACAATGAAGCAACATCGGCTCTAAAATTACTACAGAACCAGAAGTGGACATATAAGAAAGCAAAGGAAAGGAAGGATGTATCTGAACAAGTGATGGCAATGCTTCTCCAGAATGAAAGAAGGAAAGGATGGCAGATTGGAAAGGCTCACAGAACACTAAACTAGACAGGTAAAGGAAACCTATATTGAGCATGTGTCAGGACAGGACTGAAATAGAGACTGTTAAGAGCAATAAGAAGGGGCTGGAGAGATGGCTCAGTGGCTAAGGGGACTGTGGTTCAGTTCCCAGTAGCCATATTGGCTGACTCCCAATCACCTGCAACTCCAGCCTCAGTGCCCTCTTATGTCATCCTTGGGCACCTGCACATGTATGCACATACACCCACAGAGACATGCACATATATGTAAATAATATTTTTTAAAAAAGCAACGAGGAATTCTAAAACCTTTTAGACAGAAAGGCAATCACACTGACATGACTTTCCATCATCACTCTCCATTTAAAAAAAAATGTTTCTGAAACAGGCTAGACTTGCTGGCCCACAAGCTTCAGAGACCCACCTCCCCTACTCCTCCCACTCCTAGGCTGGGATTATAGGTATAAGCCAAGTGCTAGGTTTTTACCTTGGGTTCTGGGGATCTGAACTCAGGTCCCAGTGCTCGTGTTGCAGATGCTTTTCTGAGTGTCTCTACTTTTTTTCAGTAAAATAAGTGTGATAAGATTGGACGGTAGACCCAAGTTCCTATGATTCTTTTGAAAGTGGCACAGAAAGTAATTTTGTTAACTTCTTCTGATTTGGAATTCAGTGTATGACTCGGTGGGAAAGCTTGGGAGCAACGTTCTTAATGGCAATGTGGACAGGCTGGGAGCCTACACAGAGTGCCTTTCCACCCAGGGCCCCAAGAAGAGATTCCGGGGGCAGTACTGCAAGCTTCATATACTGCAGGTGAGTATGTGTGGGAATCTGTGTGCTTGCTGTTGAAGGACAAGCTAATATGATACAGATACAACCCCACCAATTCCCATTTCTAACTGAAGACACAAAAAGGGATTAGTAAGAGGTTTCACAGCAAGTAACAACTACATTTTATTCATTTGTTCCTTTTGAGAGATCTCTTTATGTAGAGCAAGTTGACCTGGAACTTGCTAGGTAGCCCAGGCTGGTCCTCTAGCCTCTCACTCCTGGGTGTTAAGATTTTAGGTATACACCCCTTTACCAACCTAAAACTTGATTTTAGATGGTTGGTGGAAACCTGCTCAGCCTCTTCTTCTGTGACATTTTATGAGACACTTGTCACAAACTGTGTTAGGTTATCTTCAACTATTTCTCCTTCCACATTGTATGGAACAAGATCTCTGGCAGACCTTGAAGGAGGTATCAAGGTCAAGGCTGGCCAGCAACTTGAATAGCAATAGTCCATACATGTTCTTTGTGCTCATTGGTTGATCTTTGCCCTTTACAGGCTCCACCACTGCTGGGGGCCAGTGGGGACTGTCTTGTACTTGGGCCTTTGAAGGATCTCACTATTCGCCTCTTTAAGTTCCCACTCTACTTCTGTTGAGGTGGAGTCATGTCATTGCTTGTAATAGTGTGGGTCAAACCAAGGAGCTTGGCACCCAGCTCCTGAGTACTAGTTCCTGATTCTACATCAATTTTCTGAATAGCAGCTGGTGTTTAGACTGCCTGTTATTCATAGCCCTGTTTCCAGAAACAGAGCTCTGAACATGAATTTGAAGTTATCTAAGCAGATGCATTATGACTTATGAATATTAACTGAGTTGACCAACATTTTAGAGTTTACTCTATTTTTTGTTGTTGTTCTTTTTGAAGCAGGGTCTCACTATGCAGGACTGGCTGGCCCGGAACTCACTATGTAGACCAGGCTGATTCACAAACTACCGAAATCTGCTTGTATCTGCCTCCTAAGTGCTAGGATTAAAAGCATGTGCCACCACGCCTGGCTATCTTTTTAAAATATAATAATATTTTTTAGAATTCAAACATGTATACAATGTATTTTGATCATATTTGCTTCCACTCCTCCTGCAACCCCTCCCAGATCTACTTCCCACCCTTACCCCACCCTTTTCCAACTTCATGTCCTATTTTTTTTAATTTAATTTAATTTAATTTAATTTATTATTTTTTGGCCTTTTTGAGACAGGGTCTCCCTGTAGCCCCAACTGTCCTGGATTCACCATGGAGACCAGGCTGACCTCAAACTCACAAAGATCCGCCTGCCTCTGCCTCCCGAGTGCTGGGACTAAAGGTGTGCGCCACCACACCCAGCTCATGTCGTCTTTAAAAAAATTTTTTTAGAGCCCAGTGATTCCAATTGGCTCACACTATCTTTAAAGCACATTAATTCTTTTACTGCTCAGATAGAAATCTAAGAATTTCACAGCCTCTTATTAAATATTAAATTTTGTATGGGTCACATGTGACTAAAATAAAATTATGGTGCTAGCTAGTTAGAAACAATTGTCTGAAATAACAATAATAAATGCAAGCTCTCTGCTATTAATGCTCTAACATGTCTACAGTGGTTTGCCATGGAGACAGACTTTATCACCCAGCCTCTTTTGTCCTGTTGAGGGTTTGGATGATTGCTTAAGGGTTCAATTAGTATGTAAAATGTCATTTTCAGATTAATGGTTTTGATATCAGAGCAAAAGGTCAAGCCTTCGCAATCATAAAAGTTATGTATTTAGAAGAAGTAACCCAGAACTTTGTATTTATAATTTGATCTATCATTATTGAGACAGGCATTCTAATTTTTGGCTTGATTTTTTAAATAAAATCTTTACTTGATAAATGTGTTCTTTTTTTTTTTGAGACAGGGTCTCCCTATAGCCCATTTGGCCTGTAATTCAATGTATAGACCAGACAGGCTTTGATCTCACAGATCTCACAGAGATAAATGTGTTCTTATTTGGAAACTGTATTGAGAATTGTAGGGGAACTGGTTTTTAATGACCTTTAATCTAGAGGAGAGATTCCTGGGGCAAATTATTCAAAACTAGTTCTGCTTCTTAAATCAGTGGCATTAAACCAGGGAATATATTTTAATTTAGTTATAGGTACATCTGATCTAGAAATTTGCTTGAAGCATTCTGACAAACCCATGTCTTAGGAAGTCAGAAACCTTTTCTTCTTTCACTATGTTTCCCTCTGTCCCTCTTTCACCCTGCTTGCTATGTGGTTGCCTTCTTTAGAGATGAACATGCATGGGCCAGGTGTGGTGGCTCATGCCTATAATTCCAGCACTTGGAAGGTGGAAGCAGGCGGAACAGGAGATCAAATGAGACCCTACCTCAAAAAACAAAACAAGGGGGGTGAGGACTGGAGCGATGTCTCAGAGGTTAATAGCACTGGCTGTTCTTGCAGAGGACCCAGGTTCAATTCTTAGCACCTACATGGTGGCTAACAACTGTCCATAACTCCAGTTCCAGAGAATCTGAACTCTTCTGGCCTCTTCCCCTTCCTCCCCTTCTTCTGGCCTCCATGGGCATTGTACTACATGGATGTACTTACATTCATGCAGGCAATATACTCATACACATAAAATAAAAATACTAAATAAAATATTTTCTAAAAAATAAAGCCAGGCAGGGTGTGGTGGCGCACGTCTTTAATCCCAGCATGCGGGAGGCAGAGGCAGGTGGATCTCTGTGAGTTCAAGGCCAGCCTGGTCTACATAGTGAGTTCCAGGACAGCTGGGGCTACAGGGAGACCCTGTCTCAAAAAGACCAATAAATAAATAAATAAATAGATAAATAAATAAATAAATAAAATAAAATAAGGGGATGGGGAAGTGACTCGGGATAAAGTGTCTACCATATAAGCATGAAGGCCTCAGGTCAGATCCCCAGCACCCACTTGAAAGTGTGATGAGGTGCCTTGAATGTTTATAATCCCTGAACTAGGTGTGTGTGTGTGTGTTTGTCAGAAACAGGCAGATCTCGTGAGGTCACAGGCCAGTCAGTCTAGCCAAATCAATGAGCTCCAGGTTCAGTGAGAGACTCTGTAGATTCGGTCTCAAAAAAAAAAAAATGGTGGCAAGTGATCAAGGAAGGATACTCAGTGTCACTATCTGGTCTCCACATGTACATGCATATACTTGCACATGCTCTTACACACACACACACACACACACACACACACACACACACAAATCATGCATGTGTTCAAAGACTAAAATTAAAAGGCATCGTGGCATTGTGTTTTCCAGGATGGAGCTGATTATAGTGTGGGCCTCTGCATCCCTGATTCTTGTGCTGAAGAAGATGTGACCATGATGTTTCAGCTGGGTAAGTACAAAAAGCTACAAACTACTCTCTCAACATCTCAACATGAAGTTTGAAACTCCTGACTGCTTAGAGTCAAGAAAGGAAGTTCCTTCAGGACCACTCAACCTTTCATCCTGGTCAGTATGCTCAACTGAGTTTGGAGGGACTTGGGAGCAGAGGTGGTGGGACAGTAGCAGAATAGGCCAGAAGGGAAGAGAAAGACCACGCAGAGGGGATAATTACAGGATCTTGATGTAATAAAGATGTAAATTTAATCAGTCTTTCCTCACCCACAGCTCCATCATTAGGACTGGAGACAGGAAGTGGGCAGTCTCCTGTTTCCATATTGTATATTCTCTGCTCTGGCCCATGTGTTTGGCACCTGCTGGATCATGAAGGCCATTTGGAATCGAATTGTGTGGGGCCAATGGGTTGTAGTGGATTAGCACTAAGAACCCAGCATTTGGTCCTGGTTGTCACTTCCCAGCTGTGTGATCCTAAGCAAATCACTTAATCTTCCCCCAGTTTCAGTTCTTGTCTGGGCAGTGAGGGATGGATTCTGAAGTTCAGGGGCTTTAACAGGCAGAGGAATAAATTTTAGTTCACATATAAACTGGTTTTATCCCTTATAAATCTTTCAAAAATTTTTAAGCAAACGCTTTAAAGCCTAAAATTTGCTTTTACTGCTAGTGGCTGGTATTTATTCTCATCATCCATAAAAGAACTAACAGAACTCATTATTAAACATTCTCCTTTAAGGTATTGATAGTGCAGTTATTTATTTTTTTTTATAACTTTAAATTGTTCTCTAACTTTATAATAACCCCTTACAGCTTTGTGTACCTTCTATTTCTAATCTAGTATTTCACGTGCAATTATATAAAAAAAGACATGGTGGCACATGTCTGTAATCCCAGCACTTAAGAAGCTAAGTTAAGGAAAACTCAGCAGACCACCTGAGAGTGCCTGGATGTGGCCTCCACATGGTGTAGATGGAATCCCACTGAAACTGGCCAACAGCCCATGGAAAACAGATGATGCAGAGACCCAAAAGTTCAGTGCCTTGCTGCAATGGGAGGAAGATCATCCCATGCCTACCACCCCCTCCAAAGCTCAGGGACTTTTGCGGAAAGAACATAAGTGCTGGAGGAAGGGGTAGAATGTTAACTGGAAAAGTCCTCTGATCACTATGCCTGCAAGCTATAGTCACACCTCCTTCCCACACTCACCAAAGAGTCAGGGGGGAGTCAGTTACCCCTCCTACCCAATCAGTTGACCTTAGCTGCATGTGGGGCTTACCAGCCAGAGTTGACAGAATAAAATGGAATGTTGGCAATAATTTCTGATAATAAAAGGATATTTTGAGAGAGAGAGGCAATAAGAAGGTACTTTTCAAGGAACCAGAAGGGCAGGCCCATGAACAAAGCTGACACCGGACAGTGTTAGTGGAATTTAGTGTTGGAAGGCAAGGCCTTTCTCCAGCTTTGGCACAGAGGCAGGGTTAGATATCAGAGTGACTTTGCTCAATGGAAAATATCCCCATCTGGAAAGGATTTGTCAGCTATTTCTTAGAGCTTTTTGATGGCGTTGCTGTGTCCTTTCCAGATGTGGAGCCAACCAGCTCAGTAATGCCAGGCGGCTGCTGTTGCTACAGGTGTTGCTCATTAGAGCAAGAGAGCGGGAACAGCCAGAGCAGACAAGCCAAGACAGAATGATCAAAGTTATTGCAGGGGAAGAGACCTGGGTGGGTCGGACAGACTGCTTGAAACCAGAGCCTGGGCAAAGTGCTGCACACTGGATACCACAGGATATTGTAACATTTCAACCAACTGACTTTACATGGTGTAATGGCTAATCTTCATCGTTAACTTTACTGGATTTAGAATCACCCAGAAGACACACCTCTAAGAGTGAAGGCATTTCTAGAGATGATAAAGTGAGGAGGGAAGACCTATCCTGAATGTGTATGGTACCCAACCCATGGGCTGGAGGTCCAGACTAAATAAAAGGATGAAAAGGAGAAAGCCAGAAATGGTGCTGCGTTCTTCTGGCTCTTTTTCCTGGTCCATGGAGATGTGAGCAGGAAGCTTCAGTCTCCTGCTGCCACAGCCTTGAGCCTTCCCTGCCACGGTAGACTACCTCAAACCGTGGACCAAAATACATCCTTCCCCCATTAAGATACCTATCATCAGGTATTTGGTCACAATGACAAGAGAAGTAAGTAATGCATGTGACTCCCTGAGACTAAAAATATGTAATTCCCTAATTCTAGAGTGGAGAATTCCAGTGTGGAGAATCCGGATCAAACTTGGATACAAGGATTATAACACCCAGTTTAAATCTATTTCCGTGAAAATTCCGACCCAGGCATCTTGACATCACTTCTTGTATTCATTGTTCAAGGCTTGCCTCACCAGTTTATGGTACTTTGAATGGCTTAAAAATAAGAAAAATGCTTTCTTTCATAGTTCTGGAGACTATACATTAGAAATCAAGGTGCTGATGAGGTTGATTGCTTCTGAAGTCTCATGGCAGAATCTAGTTTATGCTTCTTGCTTAACTCCTGGTGGATGCAAGCAATTCTTGACCCTCCTTGGCTTGTAGACATACCATGGCTCCTTGGCATATATATTCACATTCTTCTTTGGCTTATAGACACATCATTCCAATCACTACCATCATTTGTAGGATTCTTCCCCATGGATCTCTTGAGTTCACTGCTCATACTAGATTTAGGGCCCAGTCTAACCTTGTAATCAACCTAAAATGAGGTCATACATCTGAGAAGGCCCTATTTCCTATTAAGGTCACATTCACAGGTACCAAGACTTGAACACTGGAGGGGGAAATTCAATGCAAGGGGAAGGAGAGGATGCAATTCAATTCAGAATATGACCTAATATTGACATTCTGGTTTGACTTCATTATCTGAGTCCCCTCGAGCACCCCAGAGAGTTGACAGGATGGTGGCTCATAGCCACTTAGCCCAGGACCCTGCACTTAGAACATATGCATACATTAGACAAATCTGAGTAAAGTTCAAGTGTGACCTAGACCCTGCACTTAAAACAGCTGATCACATTAGACAGATACTACTGCATTTTGCCTGGTCTTCCATGACATTACAGAGCTGAACAATAAAAGGTTGGTTTTAAAGGTCTGTTTGACAATGGGGAGGGGGGAGTCAGTAAATTTTATCTATAGGCAATAATGGAGGGCTACAATTTCCATTCTCAGGGGCTCATTCTTAGGTGTGTCCTGGCAAAAATGGTAAAGCATTTTATGATGCTCACACTGTCCTGATTTTGTAAGTTGTCAAAGACATTGATATGTGAGCTGCTTGGCATCAAGGTTCAGAGTCTTGACAATCAGTTTTACATTGTCCTCTTCACTGTACTGGATTAGGCTGTTTTCAGCTTGCTCTTCTTAGTTAGGTATGGTGGCACACGCCTTTTATCCCAGCACTTGGGAGGCAGAGGCAGGCAGATCTCTGTGAGATCCAGGCCTGCTTGGTCTACATAGCAAGTTCCAGGCTAGCTGGGGCTACAGAGAGACCCTGTCTCAGAAATCCCAAACCAAAATCAACTTGTTTTTCCTATTAGAATGACCAGGCTTACTAGTGGAATGTTGAAGTCAGCACTGAAAAGTGTGGTTTCCCCTCAGCTTTCTCTTGTGGTTGTCCCAGTGCTGACTGATAAACTGAAGTTATTTTAATAACAACTCCTTGAATTAGCCACAGAAGTTTCTTTCTGGCTAGGATCTAAAAGGAATCTAAAACATTTCTCAGAGGATTATTCTCTACTCTCAATTTAATTCAGAAAGTATTTATTTAGAAACCTTTTTTTTCTTCTTTTCTCTTTTGAAGTGCTGGGGATTAAACCCCAGTACTTAAACATTCTAGGTAAGTGCTCTACCACTGAGTTACATCAACAGCCTTTATTTATTTAGCTACTTATTAAAAAAACAAGGTCTTACTATAGCACAGGGTAGCCTTGAACTTGGGCAATCCTCATGTTTTCACCTCCCAAATGAGATTATAGGTGTGTGCCACCATGTGTAGCTATTGTATGGTTTCATATTTGACCTTTGTGTGAGATAACACGTACATGTATTAGGGGACACAGAACATTTGTGCATCAAATAGTTCAGGAAACGTACAATGTAGTAAGGAAGGTATGTGGATGCGAGTTATTAGGAGACTTGATATGTTAGTTAATGTTTGCATCATTGTGACGTATACCAGAGAGGAACATTATAAGGACTGATGGTTTATTTTGCTAGTGGTTTCAGTCCAGGATCTTTTGGCCCCACATTCTTGGGCAGAAGCTCATGACAGTGGAAATGTGTAAAGGAGTTGGGCATGGTAGTGTACACCTTTGATCCTAGCACTTGAGAGGCAGAGGCACGCAGATCTCTGTGAGGTTGAGGCCAGCTTGGTTTTCATAATGAGTCCCAGGCCAGCTGGGGCTATAGAGTGAGACTCTATCTTATAAACACAAAACAACAAAAAAAAAGCTGGGCGTGGTATTGTATACCTTTAATCCCAGCACTCAGGAGGTAGAGACAGATAGATCTCTATAAGGTCCAGGGCAGCCTGGTCTACATAGTGAGTTCCAGGCCAGTTGGGGCTACAGAGAGACCCTGTCTCAAAAAAGCAAAAATAAAAACTAACACAAAAAAGAGTGTGTGCGGAGGAGAAAGAGGCTGTTTATTTCATTAGGGAGAGGAAGTATAGAGAATAAAAAGGACCTGGGCCAAAAAAGAACCTTCAAAACCACACCCCCAATGACCTTCCTCCAGCTAGGCCATATCTTTCTGTCTTAGTTACTTTCTATTGCTACGATAAAAATACTGACTGTTCTAGTTTGCTTTCAATTGTTGTGACAAAACACTGACCAATACCAACTTGGGGAGGAAAGGGTTTATTTGGCTTACATCTCCTGGGTCATAATTCATCAGGGAGCCCAAGGTAGGAACTCAGGGCAGGAACCTGGAGGCAGGAACTGAAGCCTGCCGTGGAGGAATGCTGCTTATTGGCTTGCTTCCCTGGCCCATGCTCAACCTGCTTTCTTATACAATACAGAACAACTTGCCCAGGGGTGACACCACCCACAGTGGGCTGGGCCTCCCATATCACTCAACAATCAAGAAAATACCCCACAGACATGGCCATAGGCCAATTCAATGGAGGAAATTCCCCAGAAGAGGCTCCCTCAACCCAGGTGTGTCAAGTTGACAAGTAAAGCTATCCAGCACACTCCCTAAGTTTCCAGAACCTTCTGAAAAACACCACCAGCTAGAGACCAAACATTCCGCCTGTAGGGAGCATCTCATGTTCAAACATATCACATGATCGGGAAACATCTTCATCTCACGCTGAATTCGAGGGAGGAATATAGAACCCCAGGGGGATTTGGAGAAGAACTGTAGTGGACAGAAGAAAAGGATGTTTTATAGAAAGGGTGTGGGCTGGCCTTGTGCAGGGCAAGAGGCAGAGTGAGAAGATGATGAGAAGCAGATTGAATAAGGTGGTAAAGGAAGGCTTCCTATTTTCCTGTGTGGTCCCTGGACTTGGTATAGTGCAGACATTTATGGTTGCTTAAGAGTGCATGGGTTGCTGCTGGGTTCTATTGACTATGGCACAATGTAGAGCTAGGTGTGGTGCTTGTCTGCAGTACTGGTGGGTCCCTCCATCTCTGAGAACTTGATGTACAGGTCACTGGGCAAGGCCTAGGAAATCCATATGCTCCATGTACAACCTTATCCTAACAGTCTAGGCCTGGCTGCCAGCCCCCAGGAGGACAGTGAAGCTTGCTTTTGGAAAACCCTAAGATCAGTTCTGTGTGGCACATCCTTTTCTCTTGCCCCCTCAGTCTCTGTGGTATGGCTTCTCCGTCACCTCCTCTTCTTCCCTCTCCCCTCCTCCATCATCCCTTTTTTCTCTTCCTCTCCTCATTTTATCCCCCTCCTTTTATTTTTTCCACAAAAATCTCACTGTGTAGCTCAGTCTGGCCTGGAACTCATAATCCTCCTGCCTCAGCTTCCAGAGTGCCAGGATTACAGGCAGGTACTACTATGTTCAGCTGTGGATTTATGTGATCAACAGAAGGCTAGGGGGATGCCTAGAGGATGAAGGAGTGGTACTCTCAGCACCCTCAGACTGATAAGGTACCCATCCTAGGCTTCCTATTGGATGGGCTCCCCTGCCTGTGTTCTCCCCATAGGTCAGTATCAGCGGTGCCAAGAAGATGTACCTCCCTGAACCTGTTCCCTTCTTGTCTTATTTGCAGTCTGAATATCTAGAACCCCAAGATTCCCTGCTTGGTACCAACATCACTTCTGAGGAGTGACTGGGGTGTGCTGGAGGTGAGGTTGGGGTGGAGCTGAGGTTGTCCCCAGTCCTACCTGCAAGGCACCTAGAAATATAGGAGCTATTATAGGGTAGAAAAGAAGGGTCAAGAGCTGGTGTCAGGCCCTTGAAGAGCCCTCCACTGTTCTTGTCCCAGGCCTCAAAGATGGAATTAACCAGAATGAATGTCTGGAGACCAAAGCCGATGATGCTTGAAGTACAGCCAAGACTGATGCTCTCTAACACACATGCATACATGTGTATACCTACACTCATACATACACACACACACATATATATATACATATACACATGAACATATGCATATGCCCCACATAAACACTTATACATGCATAAATACACACGTACAAATGTGCACAGTTCTCATACAGCTGCCAGGATTATTCTGGCTCCATGGTGGGAGCAGAGGAGTTTAGAGGTTTCCATATCTCTGCCAAAGGATGAGGTTGCTATGGTAATAGAGCTAGGCAGAGCCAGGAGAGCCATTTGGTAGGAAACAGCTTGTCACATCTTTGGAAGAAGGGAGATGTCAGTTCTGTGGCACAAAGGATTTGTCCCCCTCAGAGTGTGGTCCTGGGTCTCTGTGCCTTTCAAGGTCTTCCGCAGGCCATGCAGAAGGGAGCCACAGGGCACCTATGTGCTGCTGTGACTTCCCTTACTGTCTTCCCTTACTGTATTAGTTACTTTTCTCATTGCTGTGACCAAATACTTGGAAAAGCAACTCAAGGGAAGGAAGGGTTTATTTTGACCCACAGTTTGAGGGGATCCATCATGGTGGGGAGGCAGGGTACTGAGTGTACAAGTGCTGGTTCAGTTGTACCTGAAGTCAGGAAGCAACAGAGGAATGCTGACTCAGCTCCCTTTCTCCTTTTCCCTCTTTTTATTCAGTTCATGGCATGGTGCTGCTCACCTGCAGGGTGGGTCTTTCCTTCTCAGTGAAACCTCTTCACAGACACATGCAGAAATTCATCTCCTAGGGGATTCAAATCCAGTCAGGTTGATCATGAAGATTACCCATCACATTTACCTTCAGCTCTAGTACCTGTAAGCGCAGCTCCTCCATGAATTAGGCACAGAAAGTCTGCTCTGGAGGATAGCTGGAGTTTTCAAGCTGGTAGGCCTGAGCTTTTCGGGTGGGGAAGAGTCAGATGTGTGAAAGAGAACTTTTAGGAAACAATGAGAAGTGAGAAGAATCTCACCTGGTATCCCAGACATACGTGTTATCATTTGATTCCTATTCTGTTATGTCTTCTTTTCGGTTACATGTAAGCCCTGAAATTAAATTTTAAAGATTATTTTTGAAAACAGTACAAATAAACTACAAAACTTTTACTTCTTAGTTTTGGATCTCCTGGTGGTTATGGTGGTTTCCAATGCTGGGGTTCTTCACAGCATAAATTCCCTGGTGGTGGAGCTAGCCCTTGGCATTGCAGACTTGGAAGGTGGGTTTGTTTCTCACTTCATCCAGATTCAATAGGCTCCAGGGCCTGGGGTGTATGCGTCATTGCTTGTAAACAAAGCAAGCAAACAAACAAACAAAAATCAATAAAGCCTCAAGCCACCAGAGGATTTGATTCCTTTAAAAGTAGAAATGGAATTTCAGAGGAAGTGAACATACCTTAGCTGGTCACTATGCTTCATTTTTGGTGGAGGAGTTTGTTTGGAAAACTTTCATGCTAACAGGAAGGAGCTCCAGGAACAAATGGAACTGGATGCTGAGGAATTCTGCTACCCCACCCCAGAGGCACCTGCTGGTAACCTAGGTCAAGCTCCATATTCTTGGCCAGGGCTGGAGGCATGCAGAGAACTCCTCCTTGTTCCCACCCTTCTTAACACATCAAAATTAAGAATCACAATTAAGGGGGTTGGAGAGATGGCTCAGTGCTTAAGAGCACTGATTCCTCTTGCAGAGGTCCAAGGTTCATTTTCCAGCACCCACGTAGCTGCTAACAACCATAACTTTAGTTCCAGGGGATCCAGTGCCCTCTTCTGACCTCCATGGGCATTGCATGACATGGGTACAGTTATATACATGTAGACAATCCACTCATACACATAAAATTAAAATAATAAATAAAATATTAATGTTCACGGGGCTGGAGAGATGGCTCAGTGGTTAAGAACACTGACTGCTCTTACAGAGGACCTAGGTTTGATTTTCAGCACCCACCTGGTGGCTAACAACTGTCTGTAACTCCAGATCTGGGGAAATCCAACTCCTTCTGACCTCCGTGGGCATTGCATGACACAGGTGCACTTATACACACGCAGGCAATACACAATACAATAAAATAAAAATAATGAATAAAATATTTTTAAAAATTAATATTCATAATTAACCACAGCTTATTTAGCATATTTGGATTTTTCAGAAACCCTCAGGCCATAGACTCACTGAAAGAGTGTTGGAGATAGAAGGGAAATTGGGATACACTGTGTCCACCCCATTCAACTTTATGAGACCTCAAGAGAGGTGAAATGATTTGCCAGGATCACACAGCAAACTATTTCAAACCCAGGCCTCTTGAATCCAAGTTTAAGCAATATGGTGTGGTGAGAAGAGGCAGCATAGGGAACTACTAACATTTATTAAGCTCTTAATGTATGGCAGGCATTGTGAGTACAGGTGCCCACAGAGACCAGAAGGTGGTGTCAGATTCTCTGGAGTTATAGGATGTGGTAAACTATCTGCTGTGGGTGCTGGGGACTGAAGTCAGGTTCTCTGCAAGAGCAGTATGTGCTTTTAACCACTGACTCATCTCTCCAGCCTCTTTCAGAATCCTTGTTCCCTGTTCTCCTCCCCTTTTGTAAAACAGATAGATTTGTTCTTTGATGTTCACAGTTGGTGATCCCAAGTCCCCCAGGAGACCAAAATCCATAGGCATTCAAGTCCCCTATATAAGACATCATGACATTTACATAGAACCCACACAATCCTTCTGTGTACTGTTAATCATCTCTAGATTATGTGAATATCTAATGTAAAGGCGGTTTAAATAGCGATATTGTTTAAGGAATAACAAAAAGTCTGTACATATTCAGTATAGATACAATTAAAAAATATTGTCAGTGAGGAGTCCATTCTATCCACAGACTTGGAAGGCCGATGTGTGTTAAAGGCCAGTTTTTTTTTTGTTTTTTTTTTTAATGCTAGTTTTGTGTTGTAATAATAAATAGGAAAACACTTGGAAAAGTCTAAAGCATTTTTTTCCAACTAATGCATTACTATAACTTCCTTTTCTCTTTTGGTAGATATTTTAAGATTCAGAAACACTTCATTCTTGGCACCTTCCCTCTCCCTCTTTACAAGGAATTCTTCCTCCTCATCTCGTGGGAGTGTGGCCAGATGTGCAGCTGGGGTGTTGCCCCTGGACACTTTTGCTGCTGTCTGTCTGTGAGTATGGGGCCTCAGAGATGTCATCTGGGATAGTATGCCAGTGACACTTTATCAATTCCTTCAACAATTGCATTTAGGTGTTGAATTTAATTCATTAAATGATGCTTAGCCAGTGTTGCCTATTTGAGGGTTCAGTGATCTGAATTTTGTGTCCCCCAACATTCGTATGTTGAAACTTAATCCCCAATTGATGAAATCAGGTGAGGCCTTGAGGAAACAACTAGGTCATAAAGCAGAGAGAACCCTTCCAAATGAGATTAGTGCCCTCATAAAACATGCCCAGGGAGGTCCCTAACCCCCTTCCTTCTTCCATGTGAGGTCAGCTAGAAGGAGCAACAACCAGAAAACTGGCATTTATCAGGCCCCAAATCTGTTGGTGCCTTGATTTGGGGGTTCACAGTTTCCAGAACTGTGAGAAATAAAGTTCTATTGTTCATAAGCTACCTAGCCTGTGGCATTTTGTTATAGCAGCCTGTGTGGACTAAGGCACAGTGAGATCACATGAAACAAGAAAATGTGAAAACATTCCAAGGTATGTTGACCATGCCTAAACACAAGTGGGTTCCAGGACCATCAACAAATGTGCCTGTCTCAAAATATTCCTACGTTACTGAAAATGAATTTCTCTAATTGGAAGCATGGCCTTTCTTCTAACTACTGCGGCAATATTGTCCTCTTCTGTTTTGCATTGATAGTTTCTTAGGACAAATTAAATATAAATAAAATTGCTGGATCATAACAACTGAATTGATTATTTCTAGTGCCCTAGCAAGAATGTCCATATCTGATCCATCATTTTCTCATCACTATCAAAAGCCACTGGTATCTATACTGTATGATTTTGATAGGTGAACAAACTGATTTGAACTACATCTTTTAAAAGAACTGGTGAGGAGGGATTTATCTTCTCCAAACCTTTCTACTACTTGTACTTTTCTCTTTAAATTTTTATTTATTTATTTTTATTTTATGTGTATGAGTGTTTTGCCTGCATGTATGTAAATGCACTATGTGTGTGCAGTCTGTGGAGGCCAGAAGAGGGCATTCAGATCCCTGAAATTGGAGTTACAGATGATTGTTAGATACCATGTGGGTGCTAGGAACCAAATCTGTGCTGGTAACTGCTGAGCCACCTATCCAACCCTGTATTTCTCTTTTGTAAATTACCTATTTATACTTTTTATTCTCTTTTCCATGTGTGTTGGGTTCTTACTGATTTTTAAAGTACATCATATTTA